ACAAGGAAGGAAAAATTATCCATTACTTGGTTTTCAAGTTCCTTTTAAAAATTTTGTAACAGCATCACTTTCTGGGAAAGTGTCTCCTAAAATGGCCTGAGGTAACCTCTATGGGATAATGGTTTATAAATATATTTTAGTTAGTTCAGTTGTAATTAGTGGCACATGAGTGAAGAAGCATATTTTAAGTTCATGGATACTGAGCTTACTGAATGATGTTTTGCTTTATAAGAGTCTGTTGGGGGCCATTATGAATAATGATGAGGAAAGAACATATATTTGCATCTATAGTGCATGCCCCATGGCAGCAAGGCCTTGAGAAACCTCACTGTCCAGGTTCCATTGCCTGAGTGACATTGCAGACTACCCTCCCCAGCAGAGCAAAGCTGCAATCAGCGTGTTTCTACAAGGATCATTACCTTTTTGACACCACTTTTGTTGCTTCTTTCATCCTAAATTTCTTTGAGGATGAGTTTTATTCAATCTATAACTATAATACATCTAGTTTTGACATCTTTTATCAGTAATTACAAAAGAATCAGTAGCATGGAATTTGGAGCAATTCAGATATTTTCTAACTCAACTGTGTCTCTTGCTTATGTAGAGCTTTTGATATGAAATGTGACAAGCAAACTTTCCTATTTTGTACAGTGAGGACCAGGAAGAGAGAATCTGCTCAAAATCTCCTAATTCCAGACAATCTTTGCACACTCTTTCTAAACCAACACCATCCTCATCTTTCTCTGTTTCTTTTTTTCTACTTTGTGTTCCTTCTAGCATGTATCACTCCTTGACATTATAATATTTAATTATTATTTCACGCTCTATATCCTCAATGGAATGTAAGTTTTATGAGAATAAGATTTTTGTCTATTTTCTTCACCATTGACTCTTTAGTGCCAGAAATCTGTCTGGCATATTTTTATTGGATGAATGAATGATTGAATTCTGAGTATGAGAACTTTGAAACTTTGAAGCTTATATACATTATATATGTATATACGTATATAATATATAATATATAATATATAATATATTATATATTATATATTATATATAAGCTTATATACATTATATACATATATGTCATCACTTTATAGGTTGACAATTCCAGGGCAGTAGGCTACAGCATTCATCCCATACTAATTCTGACTATGTTCCAGGTTTTAGAATATGTGAAGATGAATAAGATAGAATCCCTCCACATATAGATCTTATCAACTCATAGAACATTATATTAATCTAATTTTCTGGGGCTGGGCTTAAAAACGGTAACAGTAGAAGAGCTTCTTTTACTTATAGAAAGTGTAGGATGCTGAATTAGAATGTCATGAAACACACCCACAGCAAATCCCAGAAGAGAGTTAGTCTAGGAGTTAAGCCATTGTTTATATCAGACGTGAATGAATGCAATATTAGCATATTAGCAAGGGGTGGTAACTTATTCACCCAATAGCACTTATGATAACAGTTTTTATTAAAACTGTTGATTGAACCTAATGTGTTCTTTGTATATCAATATATATTTATGTCTGCAAATTACCTAGAAGGGAGCACAGGAGAAGATCACATTTGTGGGGGATTGGGGGTCGGGCCTGAGAGAAGTCTAAATGGAGTGCAGAGTTTCATTATGAATTTTAGCCTTACCAAGGAGGTGGATCTGGGGTCAGCAGCGAAGAACGCGAGAGGCCAAAGCACCTAGTAGATGGCATTAAAGGCAAGAGAAAGTCAAATATGGAAGTGATGGTGTACCAAAGAATAATGTTTATGATTTAGGACTTTCCATAGAACTTTAAGTTCAATTCAGATATTAGAAATCATCTAGGTTAATCCTTCATTGTAGAGATGAAGAAAACGAGTCCGAGAGAAATGTCTGGTGACTTGCCTGTGGTCAGTTGCTAGAGCAGTGAATATTTGACAAGCTTGGTTTTATAATCATTCAACATTCATTTATTTCTTTTGGTAGCAATCTCTGTGTTTTGTTTGAGGATTGGCCCTTCTTTTATTTAAGGTTTTGTGATATATCAGCCGCATTCCCTGACTCCAGAGGTGGAGTAGGAGACCTCAGCCTTACCCAATCAGAACACCCCATTTCCCTGGACACACTGTTGGTCTCGGTATGACTCACGTTACAAAACTTAAGTAACACATTGCTACTCCCAATCTTTTGATCTGAGCCAGGGAATAAGTATTCTCTATTTCTAGTTTGACTCGAACTTGAAAGAATGAGAAGTTAAAGCTCCTTCAACCGTCTTACTATCACCAGGTAGAGGCTGTCTGTGACTGGAGCCAAGGGAGAAGCAGAGGGAGCAGAGGGAGCAGGGGGATTCTGGAACCTGGTGTCAATGGAACCTCAGCATAAAGCAAAAGAGAAATATTATCACCTTTTCTGGAATTCTCAGTTACCTGAGCCATTGAGCTCCTTTTTTTATTGCTTATACATGCTTGGACTAAAGGTTGGAGTTGTTTGGTTCTTTTGCAATATAAATGTCCTAACTGAAACACTGTGGATTCCCAGTTCAGTTTTCACCTGTTTGGTGGTTGAACATGTTCCTTTGTACCCTGACATATGGGAGGACAGTTACATAGAGGAATGTGCCTATTTGCTAAGATGAGTTTTAGGCCTAAGAGAAGGCTGTGAAAAAATCAGTATTGTGTACAAGTTAATAGTACCAAGTCTGAAATAGAAAACCTGATTCAAATCCCACTTCTTCGACCTTTGGAAATTTCCTTAAACTATCTTCTTTTCAACTCTTTCGGATGCAAATGGAGATAATAATTGTACTTGCATCTTGAGGTCATTGTGAGGATTTAATGAAATTATGTGTCTATAGTACCCATCAAAGTCCAGAACATTGTAAACACTCAAAATTATGTAATGGTGATTAACATTGTATTCTGTTAACAATTGCTGAGCAGAGAAACTGGCGTGGCATAATTACTGACTAAATGGCTGATGAAAAATCAGTAGTTTTGACTGGGCAAGGTGGCTCACGCTTGTAATCCCAGCACTTTGGGCAGCCGAGATGGGTGGATCATTTGAGGTCAGGAGTTTGAGACTGGCCTGAACAACACGGTGAAACCCCATCTCTACTAAAAATACAAAATTAGCCAGCCGTGGTGGGGCATGCCTCTAATCCCAGCTACTCGGGAGACTGAAGCAGGAGAATCACTTGAACCTGGGAGGCAGAGATTGTGGTGAGCTAAGATCATGACATTGCACTCCACTCTAGGCGACAAGAGCAAAACTCCATCTCAAAAAAGGAAAAAATAAAATAAAATAAAAATCAGTAGTTTTAGTATGGGATCAGAAGACTTTGACCTTATTGTCTCCTTCAAAGATTTTACTCTTTGAATTTCATTCTGATCCTTTTTCAGTTTTGTAACTTTTACTGAGGCAATGTGTTTTAGGCTCTCATTTCTCTGTATTGTATCAAAAGACCGTTTCGGGATTTTATTTCCATTACTTCTATATGGTTAGGTTATTTAATAGACAACCTGTCAGCTAATAAAATATGCTTAGAGAAATGGTCGATCCATTTATTTTTGTTTCTAATTTATTCTTATATAATCTCTATAAATGTTTCTTAAAAGTTTTATTTTCAGAGATACCAATAATTTTTGACCCAATAAATATCACTGTGTGCTTTGGAAATATGTATTAGAACAGACAGAAAAAAAAAAAGAAAGATCTTTCAGTGTGTGTGCAATGATTTTACCTTTTTCACAAGGAAAAACCTCTTTTTGCGTTAACAGTTCTATGTATTTCTTTTTTAAATTAAAGTTTATCCTTATTTTTAAAAATTGCACTATTCAAATTTTGGATTTCTCTGATTATATGTTAACTGTCTCTCATCACTGTTAGCATGTACCAGAAGCACAGTTCTAAGTTAGAATGGACCACATGCTGAAGGAATGAGATAACCTAGACAGTGAGAATTTTAATCAGTATGGTAACCTGGGACTCTCCTTGTAGTTTCCTTACTGGGTGATTAATGAGAATCGGGGTAGAAAGGGTAATTCTCAGGCAAGATTTTCCAAATACTTTTATTTCATTCTATACAATAACTTTTGTTCATGTGTGATGGGTGCTTCTGTATATTTGTCAGAGGCATGTAAACCAGAGCAACTCCATCCTGAATAGGGCTGGATAAAATGAGGCTGGCCTTCATTCTCATACAGTTAAGACATTCGAAGTCACAGGATGAGATAGGAGCTTGGCACAAAATACAGGTCATAAAGATCTTGCTGATAAAACAGATTGCAGTAAAGAAGCCAGCCACAACCCACCAAAACCAACATGGCCATTAGAGTGACCTCTGGTTGTCCTCACTGCTACACTCCCACCAGCACCATGACAGATTACAAATGCCATGGCAATGTCACAAAGTTACCCTATATGGTCTAAAAAGGGGGAGCATGAATAATCCACTCCTGTTTAGCATATCATCAAGGAATAACCATAAAAATGGGCAACCAGCAGCCTTCAGGGCTGCTCTATCTATGAAGTAGCCATTACTTTATTCCTTTACTTTCCTCAAAAACTTACTTTTACTTTACCCTGTGGAATCGCCCTGAATTCTTTCTTGAGTGAGATACAAGAACCTTCTCTTTGAGTCTGGATCAAGACCTCTTTCCTGTAATATATTCAAGCAAAATTCCAATAATATAGAATAATTTTGATTAAAATAATATCGTTTATAGTTCTCCAAATAAAATAGCTCCTAAAACCCTAAAAAGAAGTCTACAAGTGACCTAGAATACAAGAATAAATTTTTAGCACATGGGAAAAGCAATGGTTCTGGCAGCCCTTCTAACAACCAGTGTCCTGAGTGAACTACTTGGATAAAAATCTATTAAATGTTTTGTCGATGCTACATAAAAGTATGATTCTTTTATGGATAGAACATTTCTCTGAATCAATGTGACCTGGTAGCTTGAATAATAGATTTTTATGAACTTAGTACATCTAATTTAGCAATTAAAATAGTGACACTCACAGTTTTGTAAATTCATCCAGCTGTAAATTTCTAGGAAACATGAATAGGGTGTCTGAGAGAAAGAAGTATAGTTGAATAGACTGGTTTCTTCTCACAGCATTGACTTGTCCCTCTCCCCTTGTTTCTAGGTCCTACTATAAAATGGAGAAAGAGAGTAATAGTCAGGTTTTTAGCTGCAGAACATAAAATCCATTCTAGCTGGTTTTAATTCAAGGGTCTATTGTGGCTTGCGTAATCATCGGCAAACCTGATAAAACAGACACTTTCTGGAATGATTTTTCTAACCGTGCAGCAGAGCTTGATTACAAAGGGAATAACAGATGATTGTTTCAAGAACCTGTTGAATCAAGAAACCACAGCCACAACTGTCAACTCCAGCCTCATAAAACCCATGCCACTATTTGCACCAGAAAGATGCATGTCATACGCTCTGCTCGTCTCCTTCTATGGAATTCAGCTTAGATTCAGTTTTCTGGGAGTATACCAATTGGCAGATCTAAATTATGTCTGGAATCCTAGCAGCTAAAGAGTATGGGAAATCTTGTTTTTAGCCTTCAAGCCAATGCAGACAGGAAGGCAGACTAAAAGAGGTTTGGAATGATTGCTGAGTGAGCTGGCCACAGTATCTGCTACATGGGGTCTGGAGGTGTACATGTTTTAATAATTTAAGAATCTGACTCATGACATCCTTAGAAACAGACAATTCAGATTCAAGTATTGAAATATTTGGATTATAAATATTATTATTTGGCAGTGGGAATAAAAGGGAGGGAGACAGATGGGAGTAAACAGAAAGGATTAACAGAAGCTGGGACCCTAGGTTTTGATAGATTCATGTTCATGAGACCACTTTTAGATTAGTCAGTTTCTATATAACTCTCTGTACTCTGCTTTCTTCATGGCGTGTCGCTTGCATAAAACATAATCTTGGCTTACCTCTTTATCTGGCTCATTCAACCTCTTAGTGGAGGATAGAAACCACTTATCCCTTTGGATAGGACAGAAAGTTTTTTTCTGTAAGCAAGGAATAAACAGTTTTCTCTGTGGTTCTTTCATTTTTCCATATGACCAACATCAAACGCGCCATCAAATATACTGCCATCCTCCCACCACCACCGCTACCCAAGAAAAGATTTTAAACTTGCTCTTTACTAGAGGTGTGCACTTTGTAGATTTGGTGCTCCCCTTGCAGAGCTTGATGCTATTGCCAGCAATGTCTTTTCGGGGAATGCTCAAAGACTGTTGGGGTTTGGCATCGGTATAAATGCAGGGATGGGGATCTGATGTATTAGCAACTATCTTATGGCCCCACATCAAACTCTCAATTCCCCAGCCTTGCTGAATTAGCTGCTTCTTTCCTTGACTCAAGTGGCAGCATGTGGGCAGAAACTTCAAGATGAGGAGCATCTGTTGCTACTCTTGAATTTTTGGTTTTCCCTAAAACTCAAACCTGAAACCTGGTGCACAGCTGAGTGAATAAGCAAGCTGTGTTTTTGAGTGGCAAATCGCAGTGTGACTACTCCCTCCTGGAGCAGTTCTGTAGCCTTCCTCCTTGTCAGGAAGCACATAGGGTCTGTTGTCTGTGGCTCCTTAAGGCTGTCTCTCTGCAGGCAGGGCTGCACTGTGAAAGAATTGAGTTGATTTTAGAATTTCCTTTCGATGCTCTTTTGATTCTAATTTTCTTTAAGAAGAACTGAGATATTGTAGCCAAAATTGGAAAAGCCATCTTCTTTTCGTTCTCTCAATATGTTCAACTATTGGGAGACGAAGAATTTTTGGCTTCATCAGAGTGTTTTGGAACAAGTATTTGCCAAGAATTACCTAGTGGCCCTTGGTAGAGGACTTCCTTGCATTTTTGTTTTCCTTAGGAAAAGAAGTATTCCAATTGTTATTTCAAAAATTCTGAATTCTGTGAATGTTTTATAAGATGCCAGGCATTATCAAAGGTCTACAAAATAGACTCTTTCTTTGCCTGCACAGATGACCTTGTCCATTTAAACGATTCAGCACAGTTGACTGGGTGAGTCAATTCCATTAATGTCTGCTATTTGGTAGAAAATAAGTGGTCATTCGAGTCTAGTAAAGGACAATAGTTATCTTCTAACAGGGATTGGCAATATTAAATGTTGGATTTAATTGCTGGAAGTATAAAACTGTATGTCAACTGGATAAATGCTTTTCCAAGTGAAGAGAAAATTCAGATGGTTAGAAATGCTTTCATTTTCAAACTTATAGTCCTCAAGTTAATAAAATTTAAATTTAATGAATATATATCCACATGAATGTAATGCTGAAATAATTTGTCTAACACCAGGATATGCTGCTGCTATCAGTTCTAATGGCATTTGTTACAAACATGCCTTACCTAAAATGTTTTACGACAATGATACAATGATTTCTTTGTCTATTAGTATTAAGTGAGTTTCTTTTGAAATAGCCTATGTAGAGGAGGGTTGAGGGTTTTATTTGCTGTTGTGGGATGCTATCAATACAGTATGAAACATCTACTTTTTGAAATTTTAAATCCTGTTCACTTGTTATTTAGGTGAATTGGGGCAAACATTCTGCATCTGTTTTCTCATAGGTAATCTGACAATAATCTGAAATTTAAAATTTTCTGGACAATTAAATGTAGTCATTGATTTGCTGAACAACAATTTATGGGACACCTACCCGGTACCAGGCACTAAGCTACTATTTTGAAATAAGATCCATTACTGCCACCAAGAAACTATAATCTAGAATATGAAAAAACACTTTGGAAACATGGCCAGTGCTAAACAAATACATGTAGTTACTATGTAAAAATGTAAAGGCAGAAGTAAAACTACTTAAAGACAAAATATTCAGTGGTATAGTCTTAGAAATACCTTAAAAGCAACTTTTCAATATTTGATGAGTTTAGACAGTGCATTCTCTTAAAGAGAATCCCTGCTTCTCAGAGACTTCATCACAAGTAACTATGATGATAATGTTTTTGTAATCCAAACTCTATCACATGACCCAAGCAAAACCTTCACTATCTCACCAACAACTAATTTACAACAAGGCCACGGACTGTTTTATCTAATCACAGCCTCACTTGGGTTTTATAGTGTTTGAAACATATAAATGTGGGGGCCATCTTTAAGAAAACAAATCTAAGCCAACAATACTTTAAAATACATCAGATACCACAAACGACATAAAATTCAAAAATAGTGCTGTAGTAATTAACTTTCTCTAATGATGTTTTCCTGTAATATTGTCTGCTTACTCCTTGATCACCTCTTCTACAAAAATCATTTTTAAAAATCACTTTCTGTAGACACAATAGAGTTTAGTCTCTTGTCAAACATGGTAAATTTTGATAAAAATTGATAATTTTGTTTTCTTTTCGTTTTCTTTTCTTTTCTTTTTTTTTTTTTTTTTTTTTTGAGATGGAGTCTCACTTTGTCACCCAAGCTGGAGGGCAGTGGGGTGATCTTGGCTCACTGCAACTTCTGCCTCCTGGGTTCAAGCGATTCTCCTGCCTCAGCCTCCGAGTAGCTGGGATTATAGTCATGTGCCACCACACCCAACTAACAACTTGTATGTTTAGTAGAGATGGGGTTTTGCCATATTGGCCAGGCTGATCTCGAACTCCTGACCTCAAGTGATTCGCCTGCCTCGGCCTCCCAGAGTATTGGGATTACCAGCATGAGCCACTGCTCCCAGCCTATTGATGGTAATTTGGAAATGCTTTTTCAGCTTCACAGTTCCTTATTGATAATGTTACGTACAGCTTTAGGGTTTCTGTCAAGTTTAGGAAGACTTCTATCAAGTGTCTTCGGAATGTAAGTTAAACTATTTGGGAGAATTTTCCTTGGTCCCATTCATTTTTAACCTGCTTTCTCTTCTGCTACTATGTACTATCTGCCAGGCATTTGCATACAAGTTTATATCCTGATTAGGTCTCTGTCCCTGCAAATATGTGTCGTGAAGCTGGGTGAGCTGGTGTAGCTAGGGGTAGAAGTACTCCTGAAATTCATTTCTACACTGGGATGTCCATCAATAATTTAACCATACATGGAAATGATTGGAAGGAACTGTATAATATATCTCATTAAATCCAAGCTAACCATATCTTCAACTCAACTTCCTCTTAATAGGATCCCCCAAATCTCCACAACCTCTCTAATGCCACCCACATGCAGGGAGAGTAGAGACAGTGGAAGGAGGAATAGAAAGAGATAAGTAATTATGTGAGAACCACCTTAAAACTGTAAGTATAAGAAGTACAAATGACCATGCAAACACACTGTTAGAAACCCTTTCCACCTCCTGGAAGGGCTGTGAAAGGAGCCTGTGCAGTCAAAAAAGACCTAAAACTATGCTTCATTATCCAATGGTAGATTTGCCTCTGTGCTTAGTGTAGGCATTTCTTTACAGAGCAGAATATTTATTGGATGGGTGTTATCTTTGAAATAGTGTTATATAATTGTAGCATTTTAATGTGACAGAGTCATAGGGTTCTATTTTCCCGAATAACACCTTTATTTCAAATATTATCTCTATCAGCTGCTAGTTTGTTTTCAAGCATTTGTTCTTAATTTATTCACGCAGACATCACACACGCTGGATACTGTGCTAAGCTCTGCAAATGATCAGAGATATAGAAGAGTTATCCACTACCCTCTTGAAATTGTAGTTAGGTTTATAATAGATAATACAGAATTTCCAAACCCATATTATCATTCCTTGGCACTCCTTTTATCTGAGATTTTATGAATAATGCAGAAAAATCACTGTTTTCTGAAATGTCTCTTAGTAATTTTCTCAAAAACCAGTGGCACACTTCTAATAGTCTCTAACATTCTTTATTTTCAAGTGAATTATGCCACATCTTACTAGCAGTATGCAGATTTCCCAGGCTGTCTCTCTTTGCTCCATGTAGCTTTATAATTAAATGTTTATAGCTATGTCCCTTGGCAGAGACCGATGAAGGACAAAAATCTTTGAACATCGCTAACAGTCTTAAAATGCTATCTCATTACTAGATCCATGGGGCTGTCTAAGCACCTCATTTTCTTGTCATGCTTTTTTCAAGCATTTTCACTATGTTGAAGATATTTTCCTTTTGTATTTATTTTATATATAATGGTAATCACCCAGGGTCCTCTTGCGTGTAAGTTGGTGAAGTGTAAGATAGGCTGAACTTGAAAGTATGTGTGAGGACTGTTGTGGTGAGATTGTATTCACACAGGGTAGAGAATATCAAAAGTTATCACTAAACAAGGGGAGAAATGCTAAAGTTTTACCCACTCTTTTTACACTGGCAGTTTTAAACTGTTCTTCACATTAGAAAATAGAACACTTAACCTCCCAGGGAAGTATGTTCCATTGGATTATGTCTCCAAAATATGGAACAATTCATTTCCAGGAAATAGGTACTTGAACAAGAGGCTTTATGAAAGTTATTTTTTCCAGACAAAGTCATATTCCCACTTCCCATCCATTTACAAGAAGCAAAGTCTTAATAGTGTTATAATGAATAGTTATCTTTACTTCCATTTATTAACACTTAAGAAATATTCAGATCTAGCCTCAAAGTACTCAACCATGTAAGCAAGAACAACTAATGGTTTACAACATAAAGTCCAGAATCCATTAAAAATTGTAGTCTGGTCATTAGGTGATGAGTGGCAAAAGACATTTAAAAAATGTTTTGAGGCATTTTAAATAACACTAGACTAGACGAGAATAGTTTGTATATAGAATAGTGATTCGCACCATTTTTATATCGTAGATGCCTTGAGAATTTTATGCAAGTATAGACCCCCTTAGAAATATGCACACACAAAAAATTTAAGGGTTTCATTGAACCCTATAAGTCGAGTGTCTATCAGTGTTTGAATCTTTCTTTGCTCCGGACTTGCTTTCTAGTGCTTCTTTCCTTAGGAATCCACATGCAACATGATGACTGCGGAAAACCCAGAACACTTGAGAGTAATGGAATCACACAGCATACTTCTGAATTTCATGAAGCATTGGATTTTGATCTTAATGAAATCGACTCCTGTATTACCAGTGCCACTGTCTTTCTCATGACCTGGTAAAGGCTTGCTTTGGCCACCGGAATAGCCTCTTAACTGTTCAGTCTGTTACTTTTCTTGCATCTTCCACTCCCTGTCACACTGGCTGCCGAAGCCATCAATCCAAAATATTAATCTCACAATTGGAACCCTTCACTGCCATCTCAACCTCATAAGCCCAAGCCCTGTACCATGACCTTTCATCTTGCCCCAGGGTATCACTCCAGCATCACATCCCACAGTTCCATTTTCCTCATACCCTCATTACATGCTCAATAATTACACTCCACTATTGCAGAAACTTTTACAGTTCCCTGAAACACAACATTGTGATCTATAATCTTCATTCTTTGCCCATTTGCTCAGACTCGAGTTTCATCTCTTGCTCCCCTTGTGAACCATTCCTAATTCTTCAAAACTCAATGCAGAGTTCCGTTCTAGTGGGAAACCCTCCCAGACAGTGCTAATCACTTCCCCCTCTGATTCATGGTATCTTGAGCAGGGTTCTAGTGTTGCTCAATAGGAGTCAAATAGATATTTTTGAATGAGTGAATGAATGAACACA